TCTTTACGATGTTTGCTATTCCTGGGGTGACTGATGGGGTGGGGGTGCTGATGGTCCACAGGGCCACCAACCATGCCGCTGTTGGGACCCTGGCTTCAGTTTAGGGGCACCAAGGGTTTTGTTTTTGCTTAATTTTTTAGAAAGTCATGTCATTGAGATATAAGTTGCCTACAGTAAAGTCTCTCCTTTTTATATCGTTAAGCGAGCTTTGACGACCACACGTTGTCCTGTAACCACCACCACAAGTAAGATACAGGACAGTTCCCTCACCCTGAAACATTCTCTTCTGTGACTTTGTACTTAGCCTTTCTTCCCTTGTCCCCCAGCCCCTGGCAGCCATTCATCTCTTTTCTGCCCTATATTTTCGCCTATTTCCAAATGTCCTATAAATGGAATCATATGGGGTATAGCCTTTTGAGTCTGGCTTCTTTCACTTAGCAGAGGGCTTTTAGATTCCCCGGCTGTCATGTGTCCTGGTGGTTTGTATCAGAGGCCTTTTCTTCCCGGATAGTATTCCTTTGTGGGAAGGAAACGCTGCTGTTTATCCATTCGCCGTCTACCTTTAGTAGTTGTGTGTGGGTGTTGGTGTACATGTACGTTTTCTTTTGTGTTGTGTAAATACCTGGATGCGGGATTCCTGGGCGGTATGGCACGTGCATGTTTAACTTTGTAAAAGACGGACAGGGTGCCTGGCTGGCTCAGGCGGTCGGGCGTGTGACTCTCCATCTCGGGGTTGTACGTTGAGACCCCATACTGGGTGTAGAGATTACTTACGTAAAATAATAATAAACAAGCCTGCTAAAGTGTTTTCTAAAGTGGCCATGTTGCTTCATATTCCCACTGGCGATATTTGGGAATTCTGGTTTCTCCGTGCCCCTTGCCAGCATTTGGAGGCGGTGTTGTTTTAATTTTTTTCAAGTTTTTAAAAATTTTTAAAGTTTATTTATTTATTTTGAGACACCAGGAGAGAGAGAGAGAGAGAGAGAGATCGAGCACCAATGGGGGAAGGGCAGAGAGAGAGAGTCCCAAGCAGGCTCTGTGCTTGATCCTATGTACTGTGAGATCATGACCTGAGCCAAAATCAGGAGCTGGGTGATCAACCCACTGAGCCACCAGGTGCCCCGGTGTTGTCATGTTTTAATTAAGCTATTCTGATAGTGATACAGGGACTTGGTAGTTGTCCTCAAACACTTGCAAGTCTGTTGTGTAGAAGAGGAATTACAGTTGTATCGTGTGGCCCTTAGGAGTATATCTAGGTCATTGGGGGAAGTAGAGGGAGACAGATTTTAACTCTGTACAGAGCATAATTTTTATGGGGCAAGTTTGGCTGGGCTTTGCTATAAAGTAGTGAGCTCCCTCACCAAACAGTCTTGGTGGCCATTTGGGGGATTCTGGCAATCATCTGGATGGAGGGGCTGTACCTCTTCAAAACATCTTTCAACCTTGAGGTGCAAGCAAAAAAAGAAAAACTTTATTTTTAATTGACTGGGGATGGGGAGGATTTTCTGCAACACTTGCCATTAATTTGGAACGTCCAGGCTTAGCATATCTTGGGAGTCTTCTTGAGGTGCCCTGTGGTCCTACTGTGCTTTCTACCTTCCTTATTGTGGAAGGATAGGCATTCAGGCAGCATTTTCCCCTGTCAGTCTGCTGTGTGTTGGCTTCTCAGATCTGGGCAGCCTTATTTCTTGTGTGTTTCATGTATGTTCACACCTTTGGAGCAGGAAAGGGATACTCCTGTCCAGAGACAGTGTAACGTAGTGGTTGAGGCCCTGGCTCTCCAGTTGGAGCCACGTTTACGTGGGGGTGGACTGTTTTCCTGGCTGTACAGTCTTTGTGGATGTCACTTTCTCACGGGATGATCATAGCACATCCGTGGGAGGGCGCTCTGGGGGTTAATCGAGTAAAGACAGAGTGCACTTAGCACAGAACCCAGTACCTGGGTTGTGCAGTGTCCGCACTCATTTCACTGTCTGTATGATTGGCTGTCCCTAGGTCCTCGCATCTTCGAGCAAGTGTCCTCATTCTGCCGGAGGCTGAGACAGGAGGCCGTAGCTGTGTGTGGTGACAGATCTGATGGCCTCTCTTTATGTCCTGCTTCTCTCTCCAGCTTCCTCAGAAGCCAAGGAAGGGATACATTTTTCTGTTGCCTCGTTTACAAAATGGGGTGAAAATTCTTTACCTCCCGGGACGCAAGTTGCTGAGCCTGGTGGTACTTTTCATTTCCCAAACTCTAGATTTGCTGTTTCTGTGATACTTCTTGGACCTGATTATAGTACAGAGCACCTGTTCTCGCATGGCATGGTGTCTCCGAGGCCCTTTCTGGGGCCAGTGAGGTCAAAACTGTTTTCCTAATGATCGTAAGAAGCCACTTGCCTTTTCCACTGTCATTCCTCACACAGACTTTGCTGTAGGGCAGAATTTTCTAGAGGCTCCATCCCTCGTGTGTGATATTACACAGAGAAAAGACTCTAGCCATCTCTATCAGGCCAGATGTCAACAGCATTGTAAAGATGCGATGTCACTCTTCTTGCTACGTTTTTTGTTTTGTAATGGAAAGGGGCAGTTAACTTTTTCAGAAAGAAAGTCTTATGTGAACATTTTTGCTTATTTTAAAATTAGATATTTAAAAATTCTTTCTTAGTTTTAATTTCTAATCTGGTAGACATCATCAGATAGATATAACCCATGTAAACAAAAGCTCTTGGGAGTTCTCAATCATTTTTAAGGTTGTAAAGAGGTCCTAAGATCAAAAGCTTTGTGGACTTTAAGGTTAAGACCTTGGGCTCTGGGGTCAGGTAGACAGAGGGAGGTCTAATTCTCAGTGGTGTCATTTATTGGCTCTGTGACCTGGACAGTTTTTGTTTCCTGATGTGTGAAATGGGAATGACAGCAGTGTCTTCAGTAAGGGGATGGGATGCATCTCAAAAACTGCCAGGTACAAAGTAAGTGCTAGTCGTGGTGGTCCTGTGGGAGGCAGCGAGGCACGGAGGTGGAGAGGGCGTGCTCTGAATCCAGGTGCCTGGGCTCTCCTCCAGGGCATCACTTGCTCTTTGTGCAGGTTTGAGTCGGTTACCTAACCTTGCTGGGCCTCATTTTTCTCAGCTATGAAATGGGAATGATAATGTTAGTGCCCACCCAGGTTTGTTGGGAGATTACATTAATGCCTGGGACATCTGTGTTGGCTGCTCTTGTATGGGTTGGCGGTGGCCGTGAACATCAAAATTCCTCTCATCCAGATGCTCCTTGTCTTTTTATCCCATTGTCTTGGGTTTGCCAGTCCTGCAGGGATCGTTGCCTGCTAAAGTTGTTTAGAGGGTTGGCTCATCGGCATTACTAGAAGAGGCATCAGACACATGTCCAGAGGAAGCCCCACTTGTCAGAGAGCTGGCTGAGTTATTGCAGACTGGATGACAGTGTAGACCTGGCTCTGGGTTAAGGCTCATACAAGTGACTTCATTTGCCAGAAGAGGAAAAAGTTACAGCTTGCACAGCTGTAACCAGCTGATTTCTAAAACTCTGGGGACAGGGGTAAGGGTCCAGGGTCTTTTGGGGACAGGTGAGGGAAGGCTTCTTAGGCCGTGGAGTAGAACCATGTGGGGCGGGGGAAGTGCTCGTGGGAAATGCTGGTCCTGGGCCCCACCTCAGAGGGCATTCTGACCCAGAGGTCTGGCCTGGAGCACAGGAACCCTAGGTGTTATGGTGGTGATGGTTTTATAATAGCATGCACTTTAGGGGGTACTACACTCAGGTGGTGGGGGTACCCACTTTGCATAATGCTGAACTGAGTGGTGGAGGCTCCTGCCTCACACTGTGCTCTAGCCTGTCCCCCCAAAGTGTCGAAGTGCCCATCTTTTGTCGTGGGGGACACTTGGCTTGCATAAGCAGTCAGCCAACAAGGATCAGTCGGGGGGCTGGTGGTCAAGATGGCACAGGGTCAGAAGACCTTCATCTTGCCCTTTGCGTGTTTCGGGGCTGCTGGGGAGACAGGCACTCTGTTCCCTGTGAATCACCCTCCCAGAGCACATCCATAAAATGAGATGGCTGCTGTGATTTCCCGTGACCCCACCTAGGATCTCGGGGGGGGGGGGGGGGGGTAGTGGCTGTCCCAGGGGAATATGTGGACAGAGTCGAAGACAGAAGCACCACTGACCTGTCTCTGTGTCTCTGACATTTGGGTGAGATGTTTTCTTCTTAGAAAAGGATTTGGATCTTGTCAGAGGTACTGGTGGTGGCCATTGCTGCGGCTGTTCCTTAGTAGTAGCATAAGGCATAGGATGCCCTTTGGGACACTCTCAGTCCTGGGCACAGGTGATGAGGGCCTGATATGAATGGACTGAGCAGCCAGAGGCCCCAGGACTTACCTGCAGCACATTACATTGACCTTAGTCGTGACCAGCTCTCTCTGAAAGCCTTCTAGGAGCCCATATACCTGGGCTGGTTGGGGCAGGTCCTTGGGGCATTTGGAGAGGTGGAGAAGGAAGCTGTGCAGTGTTCATTAGCCCTTGTTGGGGGCAGGGACACAGACCTTGGGCCCCAGCCTCAGAGGCGGCTGCCTTGGGCCTCAGGAGCTTCTCTGGGTCCCTCCTGTCCCTCCTTCTGCAAGCCGTGTCTTCCATTCTGCTCAGGGCTCATGTTGGCCTCTCCATGCCCAGGTGTGGATAGCTGCTGTTTCCAGACTAGGCAGAGTTGTGCCAATCAGGCCCTAGAAGGGTTCTATCTTGGAGGTGTCAAAGCTGGGCTGGGAAGAGAGTGGGAGTCCTCAGCAGGACCAGCAGAGTGGGTGGGTGATGCTTCGATGCTGGAGCAGACAGCCCGGGCTTGGGTCTCAGTTCCCCCTCTTACTCCCGACTCGGTGTTGTCATCTGAAAGGCAGATGCTAGCAGGACCACCTGGTAGGGTTGTTGGGCTTAGCTGACTCAGGCCAAGGGCTCAGAACAGTGCCTGGCAGACCCAGTGAGTGCTAAATGCAAGTTCACTTTGTTGTTTTCCCCCGCCAGGTACCACCGGGAAGGCGCCATCCCCTCCACCCCTCCTTCCTGACCGGCAAGTGAACGAGAAGGTGGAGAACCTCTCCATTCAGCTGCGGCTGATGACCCGAGAGAGGAACGAGCTGCGGAAGCGCCTGGCCTTCGCGACACATGGGACGACCTTTGACAAGAGGTGGTGATCAACACCTGCTCCCCTGCCCGGGCCCGATGGACAGGGGCTACTCTCCTGATGCCATCGTGCCCCCCCTCC